GACACAACCTAGAACAGATAATGGATGTCTATTCTATTAACATTTCTCTATCTGTAGAATGGGTCTGTTTTATGTTTTTTCTTCTCAGCTCAGAGGGCCCCCTGTCTGTCTTTGCATAGGGCCCCGAATTTCTTAAATCCGTCCCTGGGCTTGCTGTCAGCAGCTCAGTGAAGTCCATCCGGTGAGAGGATGCCATCTTTGCAACAAATACAGCCAGGAAATTTCCACTGACTGTCAGCTGTATCATAAACCAAACGACAGCAACATCCAGGAAGTGTTAGGTCATGTACGCTGCTGGAGCGGGGTCACTGGATGCTGGAGCACGTAGAGTTCCAGTATCCAATGACAATCACTACGCCTCTCCATGCTTCAAGCCGCCTTCTGATCAGCTCCAGAACAGAGCTTCATGGAACGGGTTTCCATGGTGGAGCAGCTGCAGCCAAACATCAGAGTAATTGCAAAGCGTTGGAGGCAGTGGTGGAAAGGACGCTGTTCTCTGGAGGGATGAACCGTGCTTCTCCATCTGGGAACCTGATGGTTGCCAGGAGAACAGTACTCGTCTGACTGCGTTGTGCCAAGAGGGTGTTTTTCAGGAGCTGGGCTCCGCTCCTTTGTTCCAATGAGAAGAACTCTGAATGCTTCAGCAGACTTAAGAAATTTTGGACGACAGTTTGGATCTCCCTGCTGCACCTACTGTGGACCAGAGCACAAAGCAAATCTGCTGTGGAGGAACCTGACTGACCTGCACAGAGTTCAGACCTATAGAAAAGCTTTAGGATGAATTCGAACACAGACTGAGAGCCAGGCCTTCTGTCCAACATCAGGGTTTGAACTCACAAATGCACATCTGGAAAAATGCCTTAAAATTCCCAAAAAACACTCCTAGAGCTCATGGACAGCATTCCCAGAAGAGTTAAAGCTGTTCTCCCTGCAAAGGGTGGACTGATGTTCAGGTGTTCTATCACTGAAGCTCATATGTGAGTAAGGGCAGGTGAGTGAATACTTTTGGCAGTATGGTATATATATATATAGGAAAAAACAGATGAAGGTGTCTATATAAGAGCCTGGGAGCATTCAGCAACTACACTTCCCCTCAAAACACTAATGCTTAATGAGCTCTGAACACATTCACATCCTCAGGACTCCACTGCTGAAGAAAAACAGACACAATGAGGCTTTAACACGCTTTAAACAAGCTGCTGAAATGCTGGGTCACTGGGTGAGAGCAAAGCATTCTGGGTAGGAAATCTGAGGATGAATTAATTGTACCTGCAATATACTCACAATTACGAAAAACGCAATTTTCAAAATGCAGAGGCTCTTAATTTTAGTCACTATACATTTAACAAGAGTAATGCTATGTTCAGACCGGGTGCAGGAGGAGCAGCAAAAACCCGCATGCTTCTTCATTTGGCGGCTGAAGCATCTTTGCTTCTCTAGCTGCGCATTGTTAAAGTGGGTCTGATGCGAGTAAGGCGGAGCTACCCTATCCTTTCTTTGCCTGGAACAATGGCAGCTATGTTTGCTGTGAACAGCGGGTAAAAAGTAGTTTGAATCTATAAAGTCCTCCTGAAAACATGGTCTGTGCAGTCAGTTCATCCAGATTACCATCCTGCCTTCAAAGATTATTTCTCTCTGGGAGCCGCTCAGACCCCCACATACCGGCGGGGCGCTGTCACTGGGAATCTGCCTCAGGCCCGCTCGCCTCTTTGGGTTTTTCCTCTACTGTTGGTTGCGGCTGGAAGTAGATGTTAGCGTTTTTCAGGTCTGTGCTACAAACTGAAGGCAGCAGGATAAGAAAAGCGAACATATTCTGCCGGCAGGTTTCTACATTTTAAGTTAATTTAGTTGTTAATAAACTGTTTCAGAGGGGGGATCATAGCGCTCTGCATCAGCAGTGCTGTGTCTGACTCCCTGCCAGCTCCCAGATCAGCTTCTCTCATTCAATGTCTCGAACTCCCGTAGCTGCTGCTTCTGAAGCGCCTCGGAAGTTCATGAGTCGCTGCTTCTGCTGCTATAAACGCACTGCAGGACCTTTTGCTGCACCTTGATGCGCGTCAACCATTGACTTTGCATTGAAACCTGCTTCCTCTGCTGCTTGCAGTCTGAATGTAGCATGAGACACTAAATTCCTCCCTCCAAGCCTCTAGGTGGCAGTAATACGATTAAAGTGGGGATGCTGTCGTGCAGAATGGAACAGAGAGTTGCAGCTAGCACCTAGATCTTTGCATTATAGTAGAAGTAAGAACTTTTTCTTGCAGATGTTACAGTAAAGTCCTGCAGCTCTGGATTCTGGAGAAGCAGGCTTTCAAGGAAAAACAAAAACCTTCCACATGGTTTACCTAGTGCAAAGGAAAATCACAATAAAATTACAATATTGTTTGAAAATAATCACAATTTGGATTTTTGGCTAAATTGTTCAGCCCTATTTCCACGCAACACGGCAGTCATTGACTTGGATCCACTTCAACACTTTTAGGGATAAACCTGCAGATCAGATCCGTGTGACTAGTTCCTCCAATCAGAAAATGTTTCCCACTGAGCAAATGTTTGGATTTCCTCTCATGATCAATTGCTTGGGTTTCTGCTAACATCCAAAGCCTTAGTAAGATATTTACTTCACCTTTTTTCTTTCGACATTTTCAAAGCTAGTTTTCTGTTCTGTAAATGCTTCTAGATCATACCGTCAGTGACTGACTGTGCTTTCTCGCTGCGATCTGGAGCAGCATCACCTCTCCAAGGTCTTGGAGCTGAAGGACGGAGCTCTTTCCTGGGAGACAGACGGATGGTTTCCCCCTGTGCACCATCCTGGCTGCCGTTCTACAGGGGAGGAATGCATTTAGACTGTGCACTGCAAAAGCAATCTAGAAATATGTCAACATTTCTTAAATTAAGTTTATTTACTCTTTATTTAAGCAGGTAAATAAGATGATCTGCAAATGGAATGAGTATTTTTACTCTTAAAATAAGGTAATTAGACCATATGCACTTGAAATAAGACAATGCAGTTGTGTTTTCTTATTTTAAATGTAAAATGCCTTGTTCCATCGGGAAAGTGTCTCACTACACTCCTTAAATCAAGATAAAATGCACTTATTTTAAGAAAAAAAAGACTTATTTATTTTTCCAGGGTTAAGAACACCAAACATGATAACGGTAAACTTTCTAAGACATGAATGTCTTAGAAAGGGGTGGGGCATTGTTCTAACAGCTGTTCTATCCATGTAGGGAAATAAAATGAGCAGTTCTGACTCACCTGCTGTGTGGTTTCCATTGGCCTGCCATCCTGTTGCTGGATTTGTTCTGATGAGCTGCTGAGGGCAGGAGCAGAGGAGGGACGAGCAGCTGGGATGGGTGGGGGAGGTTTGACTGCTAGAGAAGGTCTGGCTGGAGGGGGGGGCACCAGGCGCTCAGGAAGGGCGGGCTTTGGGTAGAGCAGAACCGGCCGGTTGGGGTCTTGTAACCTCAGAGGATGCCTGGGCTCAGCTTTAAACCAAAGAGTGAAAGAAAGCGTGAGCTAAAGAATGGATTAATGGACGTTTTTTTTTAAATCTGTTGATCCATCAGAAACACTGAACTCCAGCCAGAGGTTACAGACGTACTCAACTTGGCTGCAATATCTACAACTATTTCATACAGGAGAAACAGACACAGGTTTCTACATTCTGTTTGTTCTACATGGAGCAGGAGAACCAGCCGCTTCTCTGCTCAGTCTGTCATCCAGCCTCTTTTTTTTAATATTTATTAGTCTTTTTGGCAGACAGATAAACATACAAATCAATGAAATCAAGAACTACATAAATATACATCAGTTCTCGCTGGAAAAAATCCAAATCTAGATAAGTCATTTTTTCTTCAAATAAGTGCATTTGTTCTTGAATTTAGGAGGTAAAAGAGACATTTTGCCAAAGGAACAAAAAATATACATTTAAAATAAGAAAACACAATTGCATTGTCTTATTCCAAGTAAGTATGATCTAATTATCTTATTTTAAGAGTAAAAATATTCATTCCATTGGCAAACTATCTCATTTACCAACTCAAATTAAGGGTAAATACACTAAATTGAATACATTTTTACTTATTTCTAGATCGTTTTTGAGTATATCAACACAGGAAAAACGATCTAGAAATGAGTAAAAATGTATTCAATTTAGTGTATTTACCCTTAATTTGAGTAGGTAAATGAGATGATTTGCCAATGGAATGGGTATTTTTAGTCTTAAAATAAGATATTTAGATAAAATGCACTTGAAATAAGACAATGCAATTGTGTTTTCCTGATTTTGAATGTAAATTGTCTTGTTCCATTGGCAAAATGTTTCTTTAACCTTCTCAATTCAAAAACAAATCCACTTATTTTAAGAAAAAATGACTTGTCTAGATTTAGATTTTTTCCAATGAAGGAAACAAAAATACACAAACCAAAATAAAAACAACAAAAAAAGAAAAAAGAAAATAAAACCAAAGACAAACAAAGTGCCTATCTTATACCGTATAATATACGGTATAAGATAGGCACTTTGTTTGTAAATCAGATAAATGTGATGTATGTGATAATCCTGAACCAAGGTTTGATATTATCAAACCTTGGTTCAGGATTATCACATACATCACATTTATCCCGTCATATTTTCCAAATAATTTCAAAAATACCCCCAAACCTGATTAAACAGATCTCCTCTCCCTCTACTACTGAAGGTTAGCCTCTCATATGAGGCCGTCAGCTCTGTCCGTTCCTTAAAACAGCAGATATCAGCTGATTTCCAGTGCCTCAGGATTATCCTACACCCAGTTAAGGTTACTGATCGTATCCAAAGCCTCTGTCTTCCAGATAGACTAATGTTCTCTGGTAACACACCCAAATACACAAGGCAAATGAAGTTGAAATAGATCATTTAAGAGAGTGATCATTTAATCCTGCTTATTATTTATAGAGATTTTGACATGAAAAACTAGAGCAGAACAAAGAGCTTCACCAAGGAGAAAAATAGGAGGAAGAAAGAATAAAGTGTAAATCTGGGTTAGTTTGGTTTGTTTCTGCAAACCAGAAACAAACTGCATCCTACCTGATGAGGTTGACATCGTTCGGGACTTGATGTCTTTGGGAGGTAGTTCAGGTTTGTTCAGGATAGCACCTTAGGGATGGAAACAGAAGACGATATAAGCTAACCCCAGATATGATGCTCAGAAATGACACCTTTCATCTCAACCTGCAGCTGCCACAGCTCAACACTGCAAAAATGGAAATCTAAAAAGTAGTTTCTTCTTAAAATAAGTGCATTTTCTTCTTGAATTGAGGAGGTAAGTGAGACACTTTCCCAATGGAACGAGACAATTTACATTTAAAATAAGAAAAAAAAACAATTGCATTGTCTTATTTCAAATTAATATTATCTAGCTATTTATTTTAAGAGAGAAAAATACTAATTCCATTGGAAAATCTTATTAAACGGCTCAAATTAGGGGGAAATACACTTAATTTAAGACATTTTTACTTATTTATATATTGTTTTTTCAGTGCAGAAACCTCGATAGAAGAAATAAAAATATCTACAACTATTTCATACAGGAGAAACAAACACGGGTTTCTACATTCTGTTTGTTCTACATGGAGCAGGAGAACCAGCCGCTTCTCTGCTCAGTCTGTCATCCAGCTTCTTTTTTTATGTATTAGTCTTTTTGGCAGACAGATAAACATACAAATCAATGAAATCAAGAACTTTATAAATATACATCAGTTCTCACTGGAAAAAATCCAAATCCAGATAAGCCATTTTTTCTTAAAATAAAGTGCATTTGTTGTTGAATTGAAGAGGTAACAGAGACATTTTGCCAACGGAACGAGACAATATACATTTAAAATAAGAGAACACAATTGCATTGTCTTATTCCAAGTAATTATGTTTTAATAATCTTATTTTAAGAGTAAAACTACTCATTCCATTGGCAGACTATCTCATTTACCTGCTCAAATTAAGGTTAAATACACTAAATTGAATACATTACTTATTTATATATTGTTTTTTCAGTGCAGAAACCTCGATAAAAGAAATAAAAAATTTCAGTTGTGTGTCATGGTTCTCCACTTTTTGGGACTCTGAGTTTTTATTTTTCATTTATCAGTTTTGTTGATCTGTTGTTTATTTTCCATTACATTCAGTCTTTAGTTGCTCTCTGTCGCCCTCTTGTGTTTGTTTCCTTTCCCTTGGCTTCCTTCTAGTTAGTTCTATCCAAACCTGCTCCATATTCAGCTCATTAGTCCATCCTTTGTTCTGTTCCCTTTATCGACACAACACCTCTGCAGTCACTCAGTGCTGGTTCCTAGTTGATTGTTAGTTGCTTCCTCGTCTCTGGCTCCCCATGTGAGTTTTTCCTGATGCTTTCTTGTTTTTCAGTTCTTTGTATTTTGCATTTTTGGACATTAGTTTTTTCATTAAATAAACAAGAACTCTTCTCTGCTTCACTCATCTTTGAATTTGGGTCCTCAAGCAATCTCACCCCCTAGTTGACATTCTGCACATCATGCACATGTTTTTAATTTCCACTCATCTGCCCGAACACTGACTGATGGAGTGGAACAAATTATTAGATGCTCTAAAAGAATGACGGTCTACAAATAAGGAATCAGGAGATGGAGAGGTGAGATGTGTGTGGAAATATTATTGGGATTTAATGCAACATACGGGTAGATCAAAACGAGAACTTTGTGGTTAAGCTGGCGGAGGGAAAAGCTTCTTATAGAAGTGTTCAAAGGAAAGAGCACTTAGCAACGATGCTGGTTATGTGGCCCTAATAACAGATCCCTCCCAGTGAGACTGCATTACAGTGCCCAGAGGTTAGAACTGCTTTCAGATCTGTAGAACCTAACACGAACTGAGCCGATCAGGTCCATCCAAATGCTAACGGGCCTGCAGTTTTCAGCCAGGGGACTCCAGAGTGGCACATTTAGTCAACTCCTGCAACCGACGCCCCGTCATGTTGAAACCAGGTTTTCTATAAATGTCTATTAGACTGCAGATTTCTTCTAGTTTAAAGGAAGCGGCACAGCAGAATGCATCATGTTATATAAACATTGATAGCTCTGAAAGGCTCTGATGAGACGAGTGAAGCGGGACCTCACCGCTCATCATCAAAGTCAAAACCTGACATTCATGAGGGACAAAATCCCTCTTCTTTAAATGTATTTTCTGTATTCATTTGCGATATTCTTAGAATCTTGATTTTAATTGTTGCTATCTCAGATAAATTCTATTCAGTTTATTTCTATAGCTCCAATTCACATCATGTCATCTTAGTTCACTTTTCAGTTCACCAGATCATCCAGTCAGATTGATT